AGAGACTGCCAGTTACTGAGTTGTCAACCAGAGGTCAGTTATGCCAAGCGCTTTATATGCAGAATCTCAACCTTCACAACAACCTGTTAGGAAGTGTTATTATTCCCATTTGAGAGATGAGGAAACTGAGGCATTAAGCACTAATGTACTTGGCCCAAAGTCACAAAGACTACAAATGTCAGAGTTGGAGTTTTAATTCAGATCTATTCATTCCTAGAGCCAGTGTTCAAAACCAGGAAGGCGTGTTATACTGATTTCCCAAGCCAGAGTTGGTCACTGCACAGACTTTCCCAAAGATTCTGCACTGCCTATGCTGTCATGATCTATTCCTTGACAATTTTGTTCCAACTTAACTTGATTTCCTGCAACTTCCCTCCATATGGTTGCCCTTTCCTTCCTCCCTTCCTCTCTCCTGCCCTTCTTTCCTTTCTTCTTTCTTTCCTTTGTTACATCAATATTTTATTGACTGCTTCAATGCCAGGCACCATGATAAACTAGAGAAAATGAGAGAAAAGTGTGTTTTGTCTTCAAGGATTTCATAGTCTGACACTGTTGATGATACAGTGAGGGGACTGCACCAGGGGGATGTAGGAGCCAGAATGGGTAAGGGAGGTAAGGGAATGGGGAAGCGTTTCTTTGAGGCAGGGACATTAAGCTGCCTTAAAGGATATTTGGGTCAGACAACTTCGTGCTATTCTCTGTTGTTGTTGTTTAGTCAATAAGTTGTGACCCATGGACTACTCATGGATCTCATGGATCCCACCAATCTCCTCTGGCAATGGGATTTCCCACGTAAGAACACTGGAGTGCATAGCCATTTCCTTCTCCAAGGGATCTTCTTGACCCAGGGATCAAACCCGCCTCTCCTGCATTGGCAGATGGATTCTTTACCGCTATGCCACCAGGGAAGCCTGCCATTCTCTAAGTCCTGAATTCTTTTTGCTTTTTGCCTTTGGAATCTTTGGGGGTGTCTTTCTCCCTGTCAGATTGTTGTTTAAGACTGTATTTGAGTCACATTCTTTGGGATGCCAACCTTTCCTTCCTAGTTAGCCGAATGTCTCTTGTAGATACCTCAATTACAGTGCATATCACATGGTAGTCTAGCTATTGGCCTATTTTTCTTCCTAACTGGATTTTGATGTCCTTCGAGGAAAAGACAGAGGCATGTTTATTTTTGAACTGTTCTTCATTCTCAAAGTGGCATGGCTGACATATCATCAGTTCGGTTCAGTTCAGTTCAGTCGCACAGTCGTACCCGACTCTTTGCGACCCCCTGAATTGCAGCACACCAGGCCTTCCTGTCCATCACCAACTCCTGGAGTTTACTCAAACTCATATCCATCGAGTCAGTGATGCCATCCAGCCATCTCATCCTCTGTCATCCCCTTATCCTCCTGCCCCCAATCTCTCCCAGCATCAGGGTCTTTTCCAATGAGTCAACTCTTCGCATGAGGTGGCCAAAGTATTGGAGTTTCAGACTCAGCATCAGTCCTTCCAATGAACACCCAGGACTGGTCTCCTTTAGGATGGACTGGTTGGATCTCCTTGCATCCATAGTACTTAGTAAAATGTTGATAAATGAAGAGTTATCTATTTCCAAAAGAAAATGTAATTAATACTTCTGATTCAGACTAAAACTATTCAGATTATCATTCTTAGTATCTTAGCACAGTGCTCTGTAGAAAGTAGGTGTTCAATAAATACTAAGTATTTGATGGTTCTGTCAGTGAACTATCTGAAGTAATGTTAGGAATGGACACTTATCATTAAATCTACTTCTATAGACAAATTAAGATTTCCATGTCTAACTGAGTGTCAGGGCTCTGAGTGTTGGGGCTCATGTCCAACTGAATGTCATGAAAAAAAATTAAAAATTGTTGGTTATAGAGCTAGTATTGAGGATTTTCTTTCTTCCCTCGGTTGGGTCATGCTTCCAGAATTTTGTGCACAGTTGAGGCACCAAGGTATGGCTGTTGGGAGCAGGCTATAGGAGTTACTGCTATAGGAGTTACTGTCACAAGCTATACAAGTTACTGCCAGCAGTCTACAGTCTTCCATCAACAAAATGTCTACAAACAATAAATGCTAGAGAGGGCTTGGAGAAAAGGGAACCCTCTTACACTGTCGATGGGATTGTAGATTGGTACAGTCACTATGAAGACCAATATGCAGGTTCCTTAAAAAACTAAAAATAGAGCTACCATATGATCCAGCAATCCCACTCCTGGGCATATCTCCAAAGAAAACTTCAACTGAAAAGATGTATCCCAATGTTCAACAGCAGCACTATTTACAATAGCCAAGACATGGAAGCAGCCTAAATGTCCATCAAAAGATGAAGAGGTAAAGATGATGTAAAGAATATTACTCAAACATAAAATGAATGAAATAGTACCAGTTGCAGCAACATGAATGGACCTAGAGATTATCATACTAAGTGAAGTAAATCAAACAGAGACAGACAAATATTATATGATATCACTTACATGAGGAATCTAAAAAAATGATTCAAAGAAACTTATTTACAAAACAGAAAGAGACTCACAGACATTGACAGTAAACTTATATTACCAAAGGAGAAAGGGGGAAGGGATAAATTAGGGATTTGGGGTTAAAAGATACACACTGCTCTACATAAAATAGATAAACAAGGACCTACTGTATTACACAGGGAACTATATTTAATATTGACGTGAGAGTTGGACTATAAAGAAAGATGAACACCGAAGTATTGATGCTTTTGAATTGTGATATTGGAGACAACGCTTGAGAGTCCCTTGGACTGCAAGGAGATCCAACCAGTCCATCCTAAAGGAGATCAGTCCTGAGTGTTCATTGGAAGGACTGATGTTGAAGCTGAAACTCCAATACTTTGGCCACCTGATGTGAAGAGCTGACTCATTTGAAAAGACGCTGTTGCTGGGAAAGATTGAAGGTGGGAGGAGAAGGGGATGACAGAGGATGAGATGGTTGGATGGCATCACCGACTCAATGGACACGAGTTTGGGTAAACTCCGGGAGTTGGTGATGGACAGGGGGGCCTGGCGTGCTGAGGTCCATGGGGTCTCAAAAAGTCGGACACGACTGAGCAACTGAACTCAACTGAACTATATAACCTCTAAAGTAAAAGAATCTGAAAAAGAAGAATATATATATATATATATATATATATATATATATATATCTGAATCACTTAGATACATACCTGAAACATTGTAAATCAACTATACTTCAATTAAACAAAGAGTCAGCCATTCTAGTCCATATCTGGTAAAGACTCAGCATTTCTTTTGCAGCTGCTTCTGGTTTTGTCCTTCTAGGCACACCATGCAATCATTTCTTCTCCGTGGTTGTTCCTCCTTCCTGGCAGCATGCACCTCTCTTGTCTGTCTTTTTCTCCTGGCAACATTTACCTCCAGTAGAGGGGAACTGTTATGGGGAGCAGAGGGGTATGGTGCTAAGCTGAGAGGAGTCCTCACTCCTCCTATTCTTCTTTTTTTGACCCCAATTACCCTTTCACCAGAAGTATTTTGGTTATAGTTCAAAATCAAGTCCTCCAGGTCAATCACTCCCACGCTCAAAGTAGTGCCAAGCTGTGTGAGTGATCTAACCTTCACCAGAGGTTGAGGCTTTCTGTACGATGAAAGTCAGAAAGACTCATAGCCCATGACTGTTTCCCATCATGCATCATTCCTGTCCTGAGGAAATAACTGCAGAATCCACACTGGCATGAATTAAGAGGAAGGGGAAAGGGGAAAAATACATGGAGAAAAAAAAAAAAATGCCAACAGTAGATGCTGATATCTTAGAATACTGTCCTAACCATTGTAGTCCCTTAGTCTTTGGGTCTCATAAAAATTGTGAGAATTACAGGACAAAGTACTGCATATGTAAGGTGTTTAGAATAGTATTTGTTACGTAGACAGTGAGCACCTAACAAATGTTAGTTATTATTAATATTATCCAGGGCTCCTCCAGTCGTGGAAGGACCTTGGTTACTGTCCAAAATCAGGTCCTCCAGATTGGTTACTCCCACACTCAAAGTGGTGCCAAGCTGTGTGAGTGATCTGTTCTGCATGCTCCCTGAGGACAGTCAACCTGCATACTGTACTCATGTCTGGTCACCCTGAGGGTGGGGTTCCAACCTTATCTCTAGAGGATTCTCTTTCTTTCCAACATGGGCTTCCCTCTCAACACCATTTCTAATTTCCAGGAAGCTTAGTCACAAGCCCAGGTGGTAATCACAGTTCTAGTTTGGGTCCATGTATTGTTGTTGGCCTTTCTGGTATCCTCTGGACTAGATAATTACATTGAAATTCAGAAGCAGCATGTAATTTTTGGCACTGACGTCTTTAATTAAATTCAATAAGCATTTGTTGAGCACCTAGAGCGTGTAAAATAGGGTTCCTTGAAATACATTTGGCCCTTAAGTATTTAGTCTGTTTTAGTTACTCAATTTGTATTAATGTTGATCCATCCTTCAGGGTCTTATGAAGAATAAATATTAAAATGGAAAAACATTTGCACAAATCTTTGCAAATATGAACGTATTGTGTGGATTATTGCTGCTACAGTATTAATATTAATTGCAATAACAACACTGTTGCTTCCCAGGCAGGCGGTAGCGAGCAGCTGTAAGGCCAACAGGAGCCAGACGGAAGAGGTCAGGGGAGGTGCCTTCAGCACGTCCTGCCCAGAAGGGGCGGAGCCTTAAGGAATATACCCAAATCCTGCCCCTTACTCCGCCCTTTTCGTCTGGGCGCGTAGGCGGTTACCATGGCGATGACGTATAGAGGGCGGGGCGGGGCGGGGCTATGGAGAGGAGGAGGAAGATGGCGGGAGGGCGGCTCTGAGGAGACCTCGGCGGCGGCGGAGGAGGAGAGAAGCGCAGCGCCGCGCAGCGCCGGGGCCCATGTGGGGAGGAGTCGGAGTCGCTGTTGCCGCCGCCGCCGCCGCCTGTAACTGCTGGACCCGAGAAGGAGTGAAGGGGAGACGGCAGGATGAAGTTCGCCGAGCACCTCTCCGCGCACATCACTCCCGAGTGGAGGAAGCAATATATCCAGTATGAGGTACCGGCAGCGGCCGAGGAGTGGGAGGATTTGGAGGGGCCACCATCTCGCAAGTCCCGACCTCCACCGCCGCCTTCCGCTCTTGCTGCTTCCCCCGTGCCCGGGCGGACTTTGACCCGGTGCGACGGGGAACCACTGCGGCATCCCAGCCGCGGCCGGCCCCCTCCGGGCCCCGCTGACCTTCCCCTCCCCCGCAGCCCCGTTGCCGCCGGGGTAACGGATATGCTGGCTGCGGGCCGGGAGGGACTGCACAGCCAGTCGGGGCTGAGGAATGGTGGTGGGAGGGCAAGCCGCAGGTAGCGGAGTGGGGGTGTGAGGGTAGCCCGGGGTACAGCGGTTCTGTGCTAATTCCCTCCTCCTCCCGCTCACCCTGACCTCTGGTCCCCACCCTGGGCGAGCGCCCCCTCTCCAAGGTTAGGTCTTGTTTCTTTCGGCTCACCTCTCCCCGAGGAATCCTCTTCCTAGATTAGCCCCTCCGGTGATTTCCTTCAATTTACAGAGCCCTTCAGCTTTCCCCTACTTGCCCACTGTTGACAAAGGCTTTGTAACAGGGTCGAAACTTGATTTAAATATGTATCACACGTGCGGTGGTTACAGTAGGCAAACGTATCGTAATCAACTGTTTTGTTTTGATAATAAGACGGTGACTCGTGTTTTCACTGATTTCATGAAGTATATAAAGTAATCATATCTTTGGTTTTGGCTCTTCGGTTTTGGAATGGAGTGAAGGGGAAGAGGAAGAAAGAAAGAGAAGGGAATTATTAACATTTTCAGGTTTTCTTTCCTAAAATTTTTGTTAGCTAGGGAGAAAAGTACTATGTTGTAAACAATGTACTTTTAAAACATTCCTGTGTATACAGAAATCATGGCCCTCCTCACCCTTAATTTCTGTGATAACAGCTCCTGGACGGTATTTAATAGATAGTGATAAGGAGGCTTACGTTAATGAAAGGAAAAGTAAAGATAATGAGCTCATTTATGTATTCAGAAGCCAAGATACCTGGAGGGTTTTAAGCTTTGCAATACGTTATTCTCAGTGGCTGGCAGTTCAGCTCCTGGATAGAGAGACTTAATCTGTAACCTCCGGTAATTCACATCTGTGTTGTGTGCAGGAACAAAGAGTATAAAATCAATATGAACACAAATATGCTAGCTAGATTTTATGAATTAAGATATTTTGGTTCTCTTTTTCATTTCTATTTTAAGTTCATTGAAAGGATGTTTAGGCAATCGCAGAAGTTTATTTATTCATGTAACAGTTGTAAGAATTGAAGAAGGCAAGGAAAGAGACATAAGTAGGTTAAACAGAACCTTGAAGATTGTAAAATAAATTCACCTGGCAACATACAGTATTTCATTATTGCCAGAAATGAAAGGCCTAGAGTTGTTAATGCTTTCTTTCACTTAATTTTCTTATAGTGTTTTGTGACTACGTTTTGTAAGAATGAAATAAGGGACAAGCTTTTCAGCCTGTAGAGCTCTTGATTTATTGTTGCTAATAACATTTGGTCAGTTTTAAAACCTTGGCTAGAGTCCAGATGATGGTTTTTATTGAAAGGAGGGTATTGGTCTTTCATCTTTCTAGTAGTAATTTTCAGCACCACTGCCAGTTCTTCATGGAACAAGGCATCCTGAAGCAACATCCTATATAGTATGGAATGCTTCATTTGGGGAGAAGTAATAGTGACTGGTTGTATGCTGTGATTCATTTTAAGTATTACAGCACTTAACCGTTTCATAAAATTGTATTAATTTTAGAATACAATTTTTAGGGCTTGAAGGAGAAGCATAAGACTTAAAGATGCAATTACCTCTTGATTTATAACATCAGCTTTGTGGCTGGAGTCATTCTGGTACTCAATTCACATACTGCATTTGGACACTAACTAGTCCTAGATGGTTTACTTTAAGTTGGTCAGAGAGGAACACATTTCATATGTATGTTATGTGTTATTTTTTCCTAGGCCAATTAAACATTTTTTAAAAAATTCATTAATTGTAGATTATTGACTTTTATTCTACAGAGAGTCCTTACTTTGTGACTTGGATCTTTCATAAGCTTGTTATTTGGTAGGCAAAATTAATAAGGAGCACTTTTCTTTTTGAATTGGAGCCATTTTTATAGGGTTGCGATCTGTGTGTTGTATATTGTTTCTCAAGAGCTAGTACTGTTCCTTTAAAAATAAAGAGGCATAAATAAGAATCTTTAGAGGAATTTGGCAGCTTAGAAACTTTGGGGGAAAAAAGAATATCGTGAAAGATGTCAGCATTTGCTCGAGAGAAGAACCTTTTCATATGGCAGTAAAATGTAGTTTCTCACATGTGAAGATGATGCTGTTGAAACACTGTTAGTAGAACAGACACTTGGATTTGTTTTTCAAGTACTGGTGATGAAATTTTGGTATATTACCATGATTTCTGGTGTAGGCTGCTTTCTAGTGCTGTGAACTGTTGTGAACTGTTCAGCTTTTTTGGTTTTCATGTCATTTTGCTGCATTAAATTTTACTAAACATCAGAGCATTAGACAGAAGCTGAAAATGTTGTTTTACCTCTATGGTTATATGTATTATTGTGTGCACACAGTCATACAGTAAGTGCTGATTCTTGTATATGTTTGTCATAAAGCCATGGGGACAGGCTTTTTGCCTTTCCAGGCTTCTGTCCTCTTTCATAAAGTAAGAATATAGGGTTAGGGTTAGAGCTTTTTAAGGTCCGTTATAGTTCATAGGTTTTTGATTTAACTTTTAATGGCTTCCATTTTTTGGACTATAAAATTAGTATTAGTGATCCATCAATATCCTGAAAATGATCAGTTTCAAATTTAAACATGAATTGTAGAGTTCATAGACTCAGTCTTCATAGGCGGAATAATGAAGCATAAAAGAATAGAGCAACATGGAGAGATAATACAAAGAAAATCGGTTTGATTCATTTGTGAATAGTTTTTACAAAGAATAAACACAAACGGAAAGAGGCTATCCCTGTTTCCAGTAATCTGTTTGAGTATAAATCTTGGCATGTAATGCAGAATATCAATAAATCTTTTCAAGAGCACTTTTTAAAATTTAGAATCAGTGATTGCATACTTTAGAGCTCTGTAATTGATTAATCAAAATTAATTTAGACCAGTTTCTGCCAGACTAGTATGACCATGTTAATATTTTACAGAATATTAGCAAAAGAAGCAAATACATTTGGTGCCTTTGGCTGCTGACTTGTGTTTTCTTCCCTAGGGTCTTGTGCTGCTTTGATTTCTCAGGAACCAGGAATGGTTTTGTCCGTGTACACTGTAGTTTTGTAAGGTACTAAAATAATGAGCTATCTAAATTTCAGGATTTTAGATTAAAAGGGAATTGATGGATTACCTGTCTCCTTGGGTTTTTCAGACGAAGAAATTAAGGTCCAGAAAGGTTAAATTACATGTCCAGTATCGTATATAGTCTTTTGAGCACAGAGGTGTAAGCATTGAGAGTCAGGTCACACTGACTGTGTGACCCTGATGAAATCACTTCCTCTTCTGGGCTTTAGGTTCTTCATCTGTAAAGTGAGAGAACTGGACTTGATTTCTAGGCTCACAACCCTCTATTTTCTAAGGACCCATATAGCTCCAAATTTCTGTACATTTTTATGATTTCATTATGCTTGATATATGAAGATGATAGAACTTAAAGTATAACAATTAAAAGCATTCTTTTAAATTAATAATCTCTTTTAAAAAAAATCTGATGATATCTTAATCTGTGAATGGAAAACTGACCCAATGAAGCTTTTATTGAACTCAAATAAAAAGTGATGGTAATAGTTTTAAATTTTTTTGTTGCAAGGTTTGGAAAGGATTCTGCATAAACTGCATACCCCTTTTTTTCAAGTGTAGGGAAATACCATAACATTATTGTGATTTTCATCTATAGAACTCTCCCATGAGAACACTTGTGTTGCATGCTTCAATTTCCCAAAGGTATTATGTTGATTAGTTAGGGTTAACTTGCCTTGCTGGAACTTCTTTGAAATTTCCAGTTTGGCCACCCGATGGGGCACAAGCCACACTTTTCCTTTCAGGCACTTCTGCAAATGAAAGTACAATATAGTGTATTTAAAATAACGTTTGTAAATGAGTATAGCAATAAGATGCCTGGTATTTACAAATGTTTCTTAACTGAGTGAATTGTTGTATAAGATAGGAAGCTATTACTGTTATTTTCATTGTTTAATAAAGTATGTCAGGGTGAGTGTCCTGGAAAGATTATACTTGTCTACCCATCCCTGAATGTTGGGTTTGGATCAGTTTTTGGGTGAAGGCCCATATCAGAAGAACATAGAATCTTACTTGACCTGGGGTGACCATGGAAAACCATTCCTGGCTTCAAATTCAGTCCTAACCTGAAAAGCATTTGAGAGACTGATAAAGTTGTGCTGGCTAGGGGTTTCAAGTATATTTGCATCATAGCCCCTAAGGAGAATACCCAACATTCCCAAGAAGGAAGAGAAGGTAGTTTTATAAGTGTTACTTATGTTCATTTTTATGTGTAAGACAGGAAGAAATGAAATTTTACTAACATTGAATAAATACGTTGATGAGATGACCTCATTTTAGGAGGTAGTCTGAAGGGGAGTCAAGAATTGCTAATAGTTTTCTCACTTGTTTGTTCACTTTCAGCAAATAGTTCAGTTTGTGGTTGCATATAGTTAGATAAATTTATGGATATTACCTAATTTTGACTAAACTAACCCATATAAAATGGATGTGAATTAAAAAGACTCCTGTAAAGAAACCAATAATGTGAGTACATGTGAGCAACAAGAAAATGGCAGAGCTGACAGTTCTAGTACTAGCTTTTTGTCAGCCAAATTACAGAAAAAACAGTGCTAGTTTAATAGACCTAACAAGAAGCTTGCCAAAAAGTTTCAAAATAATTAAAATAATTTTTCAAAATAAGATTTTAACGTCCATTGTCATCCATAGTGAACTTCACCCTAAATATATGTTATGTATTAGAGT